GGAGCGTTTAGTAGGGATATGAGAATGGTGGTTAGAATGCAATTCACATCGAAATCGTTCCACATGATCTTCATCAACCCCATCCTGACTCGTTCAGTTCGCCTTTAAGCGCATATGTATGTATGTACAAATACTCCGTCTTTCGTATTTAGTTTCAGTACGCATTACATAAGCTACGGTAGATGAAAGGCATTGGTAAAGGATTTGGTTATGAAACTTTTCTTGTTTGCTTTGATCGATTTACTAGCAATGTACTGAGGATATAATATAACAAAACTATGGATATAACAAAACTAAACTTAATTAATTTATTCATGTGTTCATTTCACTTACAAACTTAATTATCATTTCAATATATCAAACTTTTTTTTTTTTTTTTTTTTTTTTTTTTTTTTTTTTGTTGTTCTTATGGGCTTGTTGGCACCTATCGCCGAGCCCGACCGACGAATTCCTTCTCAGGACTCGACGACGGATTGGGTTGGCGTAAAGCATCTCGGCGACGAGCCATAGACGGGCTTCCCGGAACTACAACTGGTGCTGTCGGGATGGGTTCGGTGGATGTATAGAGTAGACTGCGCCGGGGCAGACCGATGGTGCGGATGAATCGTACCGGGCAGGAGGTGGTTGGTTGAACAGTGGTTCGTGGCTGAGTTGGTATTGAGGATGAGGACAGCGTAGACGGTCCCATGGTTGGAGTTCGAATGCTCCGGCCACCATGGTGCAATTGTTGTTGGTACGATCTCAGCAGGTTCCTCGCATGCATGCCCACTTGGGTCAAGAGCGTCAATAGAGTTGGGTCGCCCGTGGCTATTGGTGTGTTGGGTTCGGTCTCGGATACCGGAGTTGCACCCGCCCCCTGCTTTGCTTCGGTTGGTACGGCTACTGTCTTCGTGTTTCCACGGACTTCCACCTTTGCTGGGGTGACCAGGTTATTCCGTAACGCACGAAGGGATAAACGGTCCTCGCACCGTACCGTGCTACCCGTTTTATGGTAGCATACCAGTCGAAATGCAATGTCCCGGTCGATACTATTGTACACCCGTAGATTTGCTTCGTAGTGAAATGGGTAGTATGGTATACGGAAACCGACAATAAAAGCGGTGTTGTCCAGCATGTTGCGTGGTATGCCTTCGGCCAGTGAAGTTCTGAAGTCGCTGAAGCCGATTTGGTCGGGAGCACTGACACGTAGATACCCGATTGCGGCACGGTGTGTCGGCTCGTCATGCCAATGGGCAAACAGAACGCGAATTTCACTGGCAGTCGTTTGTGCCTCGAATGGGGGTGCATATACATCGAGGATCGAGGACTTCCCTACAACATGCAACCGACAAAAAACCGTTTCGGCTGCCGACAAGTACGGACCAGCTGAGCCCTTGGGGATCACGGCCAATGGGGGTTGTTGCGCTTTAGGGTCGACCTCGAGCGCGAATATCGGCAGCGCATCCTTGTGGTTCCACTTGATGGTTAGGCGCATAAGGTGTTGTACTTGTTGGCCCACCTTCACATACGACGGGAGTACCATGGTTCTAAAATTGAAGTTGAGAGTGAATTTGTAGAGGACTGCGAATCGTAAACGGGTGTGGATTTTTATTGCTCCCCACTACACACACCCAACCCCGTTACTACGTGTACCGCTTTTACCTTGTCCACTTGTCAGTATTAAGCGTGCGTAAAAGTTCGGGTGACCGCGGCAATCCAATAAGTAAAAGTGGCGTCGGTTTTTGCAAATTTCCCTGACGATGTCCCTTTCTGATTGACTAGCGCAACGGCAAAGTTATCGATACGCGATTTACCCGAATGTGGCGGATCGATTGCGCTAGGGATGTGTTTCGAATCTAAGGGAATATCCCATTGGTTTTTGTTTACTAGGAGCCGGGTACCTTGTAATAATGCAAAATCTATCAAGTATGGAGGGCCACCCTATATTCATTGAATTTCTTGAGAAGGCGAAGGTACTGACTAAGTTAACGTGTTGTGATTAAATCGGCGGAATAATTGCCAAGCACTCGGTGTTTAGCATCGATCAGTTCATATGAATTCGAACCAAGTTTCCGTGAAACATAGGCTCTAATTTTTGGTGGGGCTAGTTTTTGTGCATAGCCCTCTCCGGCCACAGACTGTTTAGGATTGGGAATGTACACTTCCGAGCCAATTTCGAAATGACGTTCTCTTTTGCGGGTCAATGCTCGTTGTGCGGTTTGTTGATATAGTTCGAACTGTTTGTCTCGAATTTCATCAGCCAGAACTTTACGTTGTTCCACATCCTGGGTATGGTATGGATTTTCATCCAATAATAATTTATATTCGTTTCCATCTTTCACATATTCACGACCGGTGTGCAGAAAATATGGCGTGTAGCCCGTGGCTGAATGCACTGAAGTGTTAATATCATGAATAACACGAGAAAGATGGTTTTCCCAGGAGCAGTGTTCAAGAAGATCAGCCATGTGAGCACGTAATCCAAGTTTTATGCTTTTGTTTGTCGCCTCCACCTGATTGGCTTGTGGATGGTACAAAGGGGTTTTCATGTGTTTGATATTATAATCGGCGCAAAGCTTTGCGAAAGTTTGACTGACGAATTGAGTACCATTATCTGATATAATGAGTTCGGGGCAGCCATTCACAGTGAATATATGTCGAAGAGAATTGACTACGGATATAGCGTTTGCACTTTTCATGGGCTGCGCCCAGACATATCGCGAGTAGCAGTCGATGGCTACGAAGATCCATTGGTTACGATTTTTAGACATGGGCAGCTTACCGACGAAGTCAATCGATAATTGACGACCCGGTCGTTTTGGTTCTCTATATTCGCCGTGAGGTGTTTTGGTGCTCTCATTACTTGGTTTAATGCGGTGGCATAGTTCACATTGCCGAACGTACTGGTAAACGGACTCATACATGTTTGGCCAGTAATAGCGTTGTGAGATACGTCTGTAAGTTTTCCAAACACCCTGATGCGAATGTTGGTTGTGGTTTTCATCGAGAACTTTGGCTCTATCAGAAGATGGTACACAAAGTGTCCACAGTATTTCCGCACTTTGATTGGAAAATTTCAATCGATGGTATAGAAGGTTGTTTTCGATTTTGTATCTATCTAATGGTTGTTTTGAGGCCATGGCATGCATTTTGTTGTACCATTTATCGCCAGTATTTGGGTCAATGTTAATCACGGACGTGATTGGGGAAAGATTCACGTGAAAATCACTCGGAAGGTCAATTGGGTTTCTGCGAACGATGTTGAGAAGAGCAAAAGAACGAGATAAGGCGTCAGGAAGTTCCAAATGTTTTCCTGGTTTATGAATAATTTTGAGTTCGTATGGTGATAATCGGATCGCCCAACGACATAAGCGACCAGTTGGATCTTTGAGAGTTTGTAGCCAGCGTAACGCTGCATGATCCGTTACCACAACCAATTCACGACCCTCAAAATATGGACGAAACTTTTCGACCGCTAAAAGAACGGCTAGGCATTCCCGTTCGGAGGCTGTGTAATTTTGTTCGGCTTTCGAGAATTTCTTTGAAAAATACTGAACCACCCGTTCATTCCCATCATGTTCTTGTACTAGAACAGCTCCCGCCGCGATCAGCGAGGCATCGGTATAAACCTTGAATGGTTTTGAATAATCTGCCATAGTCAGCACGGGAGTAGTAGTTAAACACTCTTTGAGTTTGAGAAAGGCTTGTTCAGCAGCGGTATTCCATTCAATGGGTCCCTTTCGGTTTCCTTTATACAATTCACAAAGGGGAGCTGTGATCTCCGAGAAATTTGGAATAAATTTACGGTACCAGCCTGCTGCACCAACAAACCGTCTGACTTCTTTTGCCGTTTTGGGCCGTGCGAATTCAACAATAGCTCGAATACGAGATGGATTCGCAGATAGACCCTCTTGAGACAAAACGTAACCCAGGAATTCCAATCGTTTACAGCAAAAATTCGATTTGGATGTTGAGATGGTTAAGCCGGCCCCAGCCAAACGTTTTGCAACAATAGCCAATATCTTAACGTGTTCTTCAAACGTCGAAGTGCAAATTATGAAATCATCCACGTATGCGAATGCATGTGGAACTAAATCCCGGAAAATTTTATCAATGAGAATGGCTAATGTGGCGGGTGAATTTCTCAACCCCATCGTCATGCGACGAAAAGCGTAAAGCCTGTTCCCGAATGCAAATGCTGTTTTCAGTTGGCTCGATTTTGCCAAGGGAATTTGAAAGAAAGCTTGAGACAGATCAATACTGGTTAGGTATTTTGCTGACTTTAGTCGTGCTAAAATCTGGTTAGTGTCCGTACTTGGATAGGCATTTGGAACGGTGATTTTATTCAATTCTCTTGCGTCCAAGCATACGCGACAAGTTCCGTCTTTCTTTTTTACAGCCAGAATTGGTGACCGCCAAGGACTTTCTTCGATGGTCATAATGATGTCACGACTACGCATTTTGTCCAGTTCGGCTTGAACTTGTTCAGCCACGTATGGCGATACTGGATATTGGCGTTTCATGACGGGTTTTGCATCACCTGTGTCAATTACGTGTTCGATCTGATTAGTGACATTTAAGGGACCAGACACAGGAGTTGGATTAAAAAGTTTGAGAACGGCGTCCAACATTTGTCTTTGTTCTGGAGTGAGATTATGTGGAAGGCTGACGCTGGTCATTTTTGGTGTATCTATGTCACCGTCTAAACCGAGTGTGGAAGCGTCAATTGGCTCCAGATCACTACTCATAGAAGATACCTGAGCTGGTCCTTTCCCACTCCATTGGTTACAAAAATTAATAAATTCATCCGCCGTAACCATTTCAACTTTCGCGGATGCAACCTCTTCCGTATCACCTTTGGCTGTATTTTTTAAAAATCGCTCCACTTTTTCTTGGTTCTGCACCAGTTCGAAAAAGAAGGCCTCAAGGAATGTCCGTCCCATAATTGGGTGTTTCAGTGAGATCGGAACGACAATAGTTGGCACAATTCGGGTAAGACTACCGACCGTATATAATACATTCACTTTACCAATGGCCTTAAAAGAGATCGAATTATCGGCAAGACCAATGGATGTTTTGGTAGGTTGCAACTGTCCCCATTTGTGCTTCTCATAAAACGTTTGTGATACGACTGTGACTTCGGCTCCACCATCGAGTAAAACCGTATGAGAATGGTTGTTAACCATAACCGTGAGATAATCGCGACAATCGTTCGGAATATTATAGGTCAAACATTTCTCTGAGATAAAGAAAACATCGCGGAGTCGTGGTTGGTTAACTTGATTAACCGCGTCTTGTTTGTGATTAGGGACTGGAGCTGAAGTAGGTTTGGTAATTGGTGGTGTTCGTTCAGAACATTTGGTTGATGGTTCTTTGCCATCCCTTTGAGTTTGATTATATTCGTTAAGAATCAGAGTAGAGTTATTACTGGAATTCGGGACTGAAGATGTGTCGATTTGTAGAGGGACTTCGGTAGAATGAGGATTATTAGAGACAGTGGATTTAGAAAAAGTGATGGATTCTGAGTACGATGGGCCACTATTCCCAATCGACTCACTTATGCGTTTTTTGAACACGGGCATTGGTCCGACGTCACTCCCGGTCGTGTACATTTGTAGCATATCACCCGATTCGGTTGGGTTCGACACCTTTTGAAGTGATGACCCCACACGAGACATTTTGCACATCGTAAATTTTCGTCCCCCTCAACAGTGAGAAATGGGTCGACGATGGTTCCTGCTTTCGTGTCATTCTCATTTCGATTTGTGTCATTTTTATAATCACCGACTGGTTTCGAATCCGTACGTTTCTGAGATGGTTTAAAGGGTTTCTTATGCTTGCCCACGTATGCACATTCCCTGTCATCTGAGTCGGATCCAGGGAACGAAGCGGTATATTCCGAATGTGAAGAATCATCCGGCGAATCATGTAGTGCCGAAATTTCCCGTGGTTCTGATCGCTGTCTATCCGAACGGGTTCTTTCCGGACGGGATGTGGCAACAATGAACGAATGCGGTGCAATTCGCTGAGCGAACTCCCGCAATTGTTCTAACGTGTGGACTTGTCGAGTGTGGACGAGTTCACGAAGATGATCGGATAAGGTACCGATGATGATATCGAGGTGATCCCGTTCATCCAGGCCACAGGCATTACCCTGCAATTGGAATGTCAAGTCATCGATATGTTTCAACAGTGTTTGCGACCGTGGGTCGAATTTAATCTGCGCATATGACATTATTACTTGAGCCCGAGTATGTTTGTTGAGGAAACGAGCACGAAGTTTTGTGCAAAAATCCTGATAATCTCCGAACTTTCTCAGTTCGGTGAAATACCATTGTCGAGCGGCCCCCGTGAGTGTGGGTACCAAACGCGTAACCAATTCATGGTCGGGTACCCCGATCTTATATCGAAATGAGCCAATAATAGCCAAATAATCTTCAACCGATAGAAATTTTTCGTTTACGTGAACGCCATCGAATTGAGCACGTCCCATCCATGATGGTAAGCCTCTAAATTTCCTATCCATTGCATCCGCTTGGGCAGATTCGTCGAATATAGTGGCTTGATTTGGTCGTGATTGCGGTGGACCGGATAGCGAATAATTCGGATATAAATGAGATGGTTCATTAATTGGTTCTTGAGTATGAGACGTTCTAACACCACGGTAGGTATTGGTCATTTGAGTTTGTAAGGGTGACGGACCAACCAAAGAAACATGAGGAGGATCCACCGATGGTGGTATCCAGGTATGATTCAAGGTCGGTGGCATGGTTTGGTT